AGTTATTATATAGAGAAGTAGGTTGGTTATTATATAGAGAAGTAGGTTGGTTATTATATAGAGAAGTAGGTTGGTTATTATATATATAGAAGTAGGTTGGTTATTATATAGAGAAGTAGGTTAGTTATTATATAGAGAAGTAGGTTAGTTATTATATAAAGAAGTAGATCGGTTATTATATATTATGTATTATATTATATATTACAACGCTAGAAACCGGGTTTCGATACCCGTGGTGGGCAGAGCACAGATAGCCCTTGTGTAACTTTGTGCATAATTAAAAACAAATAAACCTCGAGAATTTTGACTGGCCATTTCGCTCATGTTACAATAAAGGGCCGTTCTAGTTAAAAATACTAACTGTTTCTCTTCGAAAAAACTCAATTCAAAAACTCGCGGGTATTTCTGCGTATCTCACGTGCAGACATAAGACAACACTCAAAGTTATTAAACTCATAAACTTCTCCATATCTTCTGCGTATCAACTCAGTTAGTCATTAGGCGTAAAGTTCTTTCGAAATCCTCGAATACATATACTCAATATTAAATTAGTTGCGAGTCAATTTTCTTCGTTGTTAATTAAATATTTCTAATTGATCTTCCCCCTTAATGCCCATGGCTTCTAAGTTTTAATGTTATCATGATGTCGATTTCTTTATGTTCTGGAGATGCTCGAAGCAACATTACATTTTCGTATATTAGTTCGATCTGCGCTTAAACTTACTTATCGCCCTTCCCTTTACTTCCCAAATAATGTTTGTAACACAATATATACCAATTCTGTCGACATCTCTTTAGGCCCATCTAATTAATTTGAATACGGAAGTTACAGAGAAAAACAAGATATACTATATATTTCTTTTTCTTTCTCCCAGATTGAAGACGCAATGCTCATGTTTGACAAACAGACTAACCGGCATCGAGGTAAGAATATCTACTTCTCTTTTTTAATCATAAACTATATAGTTTCCTGTTACGTCATATAAGAACTATAAACTGAGTTCTAATTTGATTTGGTTTTCTTTTCAAAGTCTAAACAGCTTTGATAAACCAGTATTATTGCGTTTGTCTGCGTTGTTTTTTTTGTTTTTTTTTAGAGCAAAGCTACACGATGGACTATCTGGGTTGTGTATAGTGTGGGAAATGAACCCCGAATTCCCCCCTTAATCAGGTTCGTAGTTTACCGCTGAGCTACCGAAGACAGTCATGTCGTGTTTGTGTGCTTTTTTTTTTGTTCTTTTTGCGTAAAGCTGTTCACCGGGTTTTCCGCAGAGGTCGAACTCCGAATTTTGAGCGTAATAGGCCATCCAGCTGATCCACCAAGTACTTTTATTTCATTTACATCTTGTCCCGAATACTTCAATTATTTCAAGAAAAATAACCAGCTACTTAGAAAATACCTCTGGTTGCCACAACTAATATTTTAACGGACGTTTGTTTGTTTTATACTGTTCAAAGTCTGTAATTTTTGTTCTGGTGGTTAGGGGACTTTAATCGCAACCTACTGGTCGCGTGTTCGAATCTTGTCATCCAATATGCTCTCACATAGGGGGCGTTATAATGTGACGATAAATCCAACCGTTCATTGGTAAAGAGAAGCCCAAGAGTTGGCGGCGGGTGGTGTTGATTAGCCGCGTTCCCTCTAGTCTATCACTTCTAAATTAGGAAGGGCTAGCGTAGATAGTCCTCGAGTAGCTTTGCACGAAATAAAAAAAAATAATCTGTAATTTTTAACTCAAGCTGGTTTTAAATAATACCTAGAAGTGGAGGGCCTAAGCTGATACCTTTAAACCTTGTTTTAGATCAGTTGTAATCGAAGTGCATTGTGCTGTATGTCAAATTTGTTCATTTGAAGCTAAGCACAAAGCTACAAAATGGACTATCTGTGCTCTACTCACCAAGGGTATCGAAACCCAATTTCTAGCGTTGTAAGTCCGCAGACATTCCGCTGTGCCACTGGGGGGCGGCAGGAATGTAAAGACTTGGTGAGCAGGAGTGGACAACGTTTCGATCTCTCTCTATCTGCCGAGGCCTCAGTACAGAGACCGAAACGTCACATACCCCAAAACTTCGGGATGATCCATAAAAATGTGAATATTTCCACAGTGAGTGATTACTCGAGTAACTGGACAGTACGAGAAACCTAGTTTTCCATATTAAAATTGATCTTTTTTTAGGACATTTTTCTTAGTTCTTATCGTTCGATAGAGACATTGTTCTCGTTGCTAAGCAGCTGTAGTGAATTGTCGTTATTTGCTTTTTCACATATTTATAGTTCCAGGATAAGCGTTAAACTTTGTGTGCGTGTGTGTCTTCAATGTGCTAACCCTTACTTGTGGCTGTATTCTATAGTGCAGAAATCGTTATCTAAAGTGCGTCCGAACTTCCAAAAGTTTCCGTCATTATCTACGTTCGTTCTGGTGCTAGGTCGTAATGGGCACGTAAACTTAAGACTAACGACCATGTAAATCCCGTTTATAGTGGTGGTCACCGATGTAGGCAGAATCGTTAACTCACCTGCTTAGCACAAGAAACAGAATTACAAGGGCTGACTGACTTGCAGGCGATGGCTATACGAGTATCACACAAATCACTGTCACTTACTTTGACTAATGAGATTAGAACATGACAGTACGATGAAGCTGCGCTAATGTTAGAACATGACAGTACGATGAAGCTGCGCTAATGTTAGAACATGACAGTACGATGAAGCTGCGCTAATGTTAGAACATGACAGTACGATGAAGCTGCGTTAATGTTAGAACATGACAGTACGATGAAGCTGCTCTAATGTTAGAACGTGACAGTACGGTCAAGCTGCTCTAATGTTAGAACATGACAGTACGATGAAGCTGCTCTAATGTTAGAACATGACAGTACGATGAAGCTGCTCTAATGTTAG